CCACAAAAGGGCACACATTTTGACGAGTGGAATGTAAACAAGTGAGAAGTTGTGATAGGGCGGCAGTGGGCTACGAGGGTAAAGAGTAGATAGATAGACAATGACAGAAAGAGGAGTGATAGTGTAACCATTTTCGGCAGAACGTTTGTTGAGGGATTGACTTCATTCGTCTCTTTGACGAGTTCGTAGGTTGATGCGGAGACTGGCAAAACTGACTGATGGTGCCGGCGAAGCGTTTGAGAATGTACCAAGTCCACTCTCAGATGCTGGGAATCATGACAACTAGTATGGTAGATGACTTCGGACTAGGTGCGTTCTACATAGTCGCCCTGACAACAAGACCAATTTGCGACAAAGAGGTCAACCCACTTCTTTAACGGATAAATTATGTAGAAAAAATGTTAGAGGCCTTAGATGATGATGGTACAACATATGAAAATAAGATAAAGGAGCCGATAGACTTAGGGATCTTCTGCAACAATGTGTAGACAGTAGAGAACTGTAAAAGTGGATAATGAATGCACTTCTCCAGCGAGATGCTATTCCCTCAAACATGCATGGTCTGCCCAAAATTCATAAACAAGGTACCACCCCATTTAGGATTATTGTAACTAACAGAGGTAGTGTTATGCATAAAAGATCACGATTAATTTACACTCCGAACCTTGGAAGTTTTCGGTAGGGAATTTTTACGACATGATAAAGTTAACTGATGCTCAGGCGATAGAAAGATGAGCTTTGTTGGCAAGTTTCGATGTAGTTTCCACGTACGCTAACACTGCGATAAACGAGGCAGTGAAGACGTTAGAATTGACTCTAGATCATCACCCTAAAAGCATAACAGGTAAAAAGTTAAGCAAAGATTCAATAATTAGATTAGTCAATTTGGCAATGTATAATAAACATTTTGGCTTCAATGGCGAGTTGTATGAGTTGTATGTTTAGCCCCTATTTTAGCTAATAACTACTTGGCCCAATTAGGAGTTCGTGTAATTCAAAAGACATTTCCAGTTCCCAAGTTATTAGTTCGTTATATGGACGATTATTTTGCCGCTTGGCAACACGGAAAGGATAGGTTGGGTGAATTTCTTGAGCTAATAAATAAATAAAAAGGAAAATAAACTGCCTTTTTGGATGTATTAGTGAGCAAAGAAGGTGATAAGTTAGGTAGAGCTGTATATAGGAAACCCACACAAGGGGCTTTTGAAGTCTATGATAATAAATAGTCTGCATCTAAAGGATGTAAACCACAGTGGCCAGGAGATTAGTAGATTGAGGTATATACTACTTCAAAGCAATTAACCATTAGGATTAGGGGACAATTACATGTCAATTGTCGTCAACAATGCATAAATAGGAATTGGCACTCGTTTAGAGAATTCACAAATCCTCTTTCTAGACCAACTTGCTACAAGGTTTTGTGCCCATGTGGTAAGGTCTATTTGATGGAGACCGGCTGACCCCTTCACAAGAGCCTATGCCAACACAAAACCGCGTGTAGAGGTATGTGGATCCAAAAATATGAGCTCGCTGAACACATTTTGGCAATGCAGGACACTTAATAGACTGGTCCAAAAAACAACGTTTTGCGGGTTACGGGGATTTCGGATCAATCCGTAAGATTAGGGAGTCGGTAGAAATGAATAAGACAACCAACGTCCTGATTAGGAGGAATGAGTGTAGCAAAGTAAGTAGGAACATTTTGTGGCTGTTGGATAGACTTAATAAAAGTGAGAGAGAGGGTGTGCAAGAAGAGGTACTGGACAAGAGAAAGAGGCTGGATTGGCGTCGAGTCTAGCTACTACAAGCACGCCTCTCCTCACATGGACATTGCATACACACAATAGGGAATAGCACAAGCCCTAACATTAAAGGATCTTAGGCTAGAAATGGTTTGACCTCGTTTTCGCAACCTGGTCTTGTTGTCAGGGCGACTATGTAGAACGCAGCTAGTCCGAAGTCGTCTGCCATAGTAGTTGTCATGACTCCCAGCATCAGACAGTCGACTTGGTACATTCTTAAACGTTTCGCCGGCATCGTAGTCGGCATGATCAGTCAGTTTTGCCATTCTCCGCACCAACCTACAAACTCGTCAAAGAGACAAGGGAAGTCAATACCTCGACAACCGTTCTGCTGGAAACGGTTACACTATCACTCCTCTTTCTGTCCTGGCCTATCTATCTACTTCCTCTTATTCCACTGCCGGCCTATCACAACTTCTCACTTGTACATTCCACTCGTCAAAATGTGTGCCCTTTTGTGGCCTCATCGCACCTGCTATTCACTCCGACCCCCTCTCTTTCGATCGGCTGATCCGACTCGGGCCTCGATTACGGATCCCCTCAACGTGTCGTAGATCCGTTCCTTATATTTCTGGTTGACCAGAATCAGTTGTTTAAGTTTATAGATATTAAGTCAAAGTTGTGGCGTGGTTTGGCCAGGATTGTGTCGCTGGAACGTTTTCAAAAACTCCACAGCCTGACTGACAGGAAATCACGTAGGATTTCTGACTTAATAACAAAACTACATGACGATAAATTGCGTAAGTTTGGCATCATAAGACAGCCTAAGTTAAAGCCAGTACGCCCAGTTGAAGTTGCTTTTGAGGTGACAAAACCTACTGATCAACACGAGGATAGGAAGAAAGTACTACAATTATCATCAATTCCTCTCGATCCCGAAACAACCGCGTTCCTGAAAAAAAAGGGCTCCATTTTTCAATTCAACATCACAGAAGCCTTTTAGGAGACATCCTGGTGGAGGTTATCAATATCACAGACAAGTTCCCTGAGGAGACAAAACGGGAAATGGGGATTGATTGAATTTTGTGGTGACGATGATACCTTGCTCTTATGATGTTCGTCACATGACGGACGAAAGCTTGGCACCTTTTCACCGGAATCGAAGGAGATTGCTTCGGAAACAGCGTCAACATGAATGCTACAGTAAAGCCAATCGACAGCTTGTCAAGTGGAATCCGTCGTCGTCTTCAGCTAGAATCGACCTTCGAATCTCTTCGCCAAACACTTTCACTCGAAATGGAAACGAGAGATTCCTCGAAACCCAACTTGTATTCGCTTCTATGGATCAAGCGGAATACCTGAACCAGGGAGATAGGAGACGGAAGAGGATTGCAGATTAATAGGGTAGACTCAGATCAACGTTCCCAGCAGACTGGTCAGGGGGTGGGGTGAGAAAGCCAGCGTGGGGTGTGAAGAGGTAACATGAAATCCTCTCAAAACGGCACCATACCGCATTTACATGAGCAGTT